ATCCCTTCTTTAAATTTGTTTTTGAATTCGAAGCCGACCATTGTGTGTCGTACCTTGTTGTAGAGCTTGATAGTGGATCTGACTCTATCAGTAAGTGAAAACTTTGTCTAAAAAATGTTGCAGTTCACCAGCCAGGCCGAAAAACCTCTGTCTGACAATAGTTTTGCAAGCACAATCCGTTCTTTGGTAAGTTATGGATCATTCGAATATATCACTGATCAAATGTCAGGAGAACTTTTAGTAAAAAATGTACTCGCTGATGTTCTCTATCCTTCTGGTTAAGCGTTTTCAGAGTCTAATTATACGAGGAAATACAAATTTAGAGCTTTTTCATTTGTGCCACGAGGTCAATGTCAAACTCCTATTGTTCCCGAAACTTCTCCGAAATAAGTTTACAAACCTTGGTTTAGTTTTCAAAACTTTTATGCATTTCAGTTTCATGAGTGCGTGAAGATCCTACCTAGTGAGAGGCAATTCAAATCCGGAAAAAGGTACTGTGAACGCACTGTAAGTTATGAATAACTCTCAAAGTTGCGGGAACAAAAGGGTGGACAAAGTCACATATCATTCAAAATTACCCTAATTTCACGCGTACAAGGCGCGGGGGATTTTTTTCTAAAATCCGCCAGCCCAAACACGCCACAACACTTCGCGACCAAAGAACCTTGTACCGGGCTTTGTATTGCCTGAGAGAATTGAACGGTTCAAGGTTCGCTTTCCGAAACACATTGAAGCGGTTGAGCGGCTTGTTTGAAAAATCGAAAAAGGTGCGCCTTGTGCGCGTGAAATTAGGGTATATCAAATCTGCAATAAATGCATTTAGAAGTGTGATCACTTCTGTTTTCTTTTTTCGATGTTGCGCGATACCAAAAAAACCACAGAAGATCAGATTAAACGCTTGAGTACTGCCTTTTCATAGGAACAACTTTTTTGTTTAATTTTTCTAATAGATGGCTTTCAAAACTCTTCTACAAAATTTCTCACAGCTTTGCTACAAAGAAGGTTGTATCTAGCACCTTCAAAAATTAATTCTTCATTTTTTGTTTTGTTACGGCTCCCCACTCTTCTTCCTTTAGCCTTTTCATAAACGAAAGTAGTCCAATTTGAGCATAGAAGGAACAAAAGCTTTTTCTTACGCAACGCGATTCCGTACGGATTCATTTTCCCAAAGATAGTAGCCAATCATGGATGTAGCTTGCGTGCTCGCTATCGTGTATTATGTGCACGCACTGAGTTTTTTCTTCTTGTTCACACTTTATTATCTACAAACAATGTTATCCTTTTTGTAAGGCATGCCTTTATGCATGGATACATTTGAGCTTACCAAGATTTGCAAGAGTTATCTCAGAAATCCAGTGAAAAAAATAATATATCATTGACTTGTCATTGGTAAAATTGCTGGCATTTGAGCTGAATGTAGTAATTTAGCTCTCGTTGGCGAATAGCGAATAAATTGTGGCTTGCAAAAATTGGCGTAAAACCTTTGACTGCTTGCATGGAACTGATGTTTTGCTGGGAACAGCTGCATGGTTTAGTGCCATAATTTTCATTTTATAGTCTTATGCGCGATTATTCATGGTTAATTTGTAATTTAATAAAAAAAGGATAGCGGACCTGCAGCACACACTCGTGGTTGTGGGAGTGATTGGGCATTTCTCAGTTGTTAATTATAGCCATTTGTTTGTTTGGTGCTATCAGTGAGACTTAGTCCCTCCCTTTCACTCGTTTCCGTTTACAATAGTTATAACTTTTGTGCAAATGCACACATTAGGAACAAATTGTGTTTAATTAACTGAAGAAAAATGTATTTGAGAGAACGGTACGCTGTAAGTTGTGGAATGGAATATGCGTCACTCGTGGAAGAAGTCCCTAAGCAAGATGTGAACCTTTTTTTTTTGTTCTGAGAAACGTTTCAAAACAAGCTCTTAGTTTGAACTTTCTCACGCACTATTCAAGCACAGTACAGTTATTTTCCCATAGAGAGGGAAACCAATCTTATAAGAACTCCGATGTATTCTTACATTCTCGAGGTTACTTTTGTTCGATCGCCATTGAGGCTTTCGAACAGAATAATCCATTTCAGTACCTATATAAACTATAACTAACTACTTTATAACTAAATCTAGAATTATAGAATTATTCATACTTGATGATCTAAGTTATAATTTCATTATTTTTGACATCTGCTGTTAGTTAAATATTCAATCAGCCAATTTCAACGTCAGGTTTGAAGTAATTCAACTATGTATGTCTAAGATACAATGTAAAAATTTAGTTTGTAGAATGTATTTTTGTAGATTTTGTTCCCGTAAATCCTTAAGACTTGAAAATGAATTCTTCCTACCTATTTTAGCATTAAAGTCTTACAGATTATCTTAGATCATTCGCTTTTGAACAGATTATCTGTACTACAAGTAAAAAGGTCAAATTTAGTGCCCTCAGTTACTTAAAATAATTTTTCACCCCTGCTTATTGACAAAATGCTAAATCATGGGAGAATTACATCATTTTTACCACAAAGAAACTTGAACCCTCTCTTTCTGCAGTATTTTATCGCCCTTTCCTTCAGCTTTACCCCGTTTTAAAGTCATTTTTGGCCAGTCACCATGGACCATTAGTAGGCCAGTCACTCTTTCATTGTTTACACACTGAATGGATCTACACGTTCAAGTGAACTAAATTTGCACTCCAATCCCAGAACATTAAATTGCACAGATGTTGCCTCGGATCTCGGCTAAATTTGTTTCCCTACTCGTTGTCGCTCTCAAAAATTCATAGAATCGCTCTCAGTAAGTCAAACTTTGCACCGCATGTTGTTTTTTTGGTCAAATGCCAAGTCCGGTGAATTTTGCTATTGAATTTATGAATCAAGTTTCTATCTATTAGATCGTTCCGAAAGTAATGTCGCTTTTTTCAAATGAACACCACATTTCGTGGAACCAAGGTTAAGAGCTCATGGGACCAGTCGATGCAGCATCTCGACCTGTTTCTAATGGTTTTAATTTCAATGCATAATATTTAGTGAGCTCACAAAAAATTACCAAAACCTCCGACTCATGCTTTTTGTCATGGCCAAGTTCGGCTTTTTCTATATTTTTGTACTGATTTCCCGAAGATGTGCAAGTAACAGATAAATAGAGCAAACCCTATAGGACACGAGATAATTTTTTCTATTCCTTAGTTTGCTTCTTAGAGTTTCTAGAATCACTTTTTCAATGCTAACAAATTCCATATTCGTCAACTCAAAACTCGCAGAACAATAATGGGCAAGCAACTCGGGTGTCATTCGACGCAGCTTTCTTCCCTCTTTTAAACCGTTGTTTTCTGTTTCAGATTCATGAAGTTTTCCGGGATAAATTCGTCATAATTCAGGTTTTCCAGGGCGCCCCAGGCTGTACCCGAATTCCAAAAGTTGCTAATTTGAAGCGGTTTACGCTCATTTGCTTTGTAAAATTAGCGTCAAGCCATAACCCACCTTCGTAAGTTTCGAAATCCGAAAATTTATTAGTGTTTGATGCACTTGTGTCCTGCCAAATTTCGATGATTCCATTGAAAAATCTCTAGAAAAATTATGACGAGCTATGGAAAGTAGAAAAAAAATCATGCTGTTTCCTACAGAATTTGCTTAATCCATCTACTACTTGGACTCCTTCGGAGGATTGTTGTTAAAATTTACAAAAATTGTAAAACTTGACCTTCTTAAAAAGCATGGGTCGCAGATTTTGGTAATTTTTTTGGAGCTTATCGATTATTGTGCAATGCTCATATAACCTTTAGAAAGAGAATGAAATGCTGCATCGAATGCTTCCAAGATCTCCTAGAAATCTTGTTTCCACGAAATGTGGCGTTCACTTGAATAAAAGCTACATCACTTTTGGAACGACCTAATATTTATAAGTCGGCTAGAGCCCCTAAGTGAACCGACAAGTCATACTTTTGTTTTTTCTGGCTGTACGGACATTTGTGTTAAATTTATCAAGTCGTAAAGTTCACTTGTGCTTAGTCAATGCTTCTTCTTGTTTGTGTGTACTTCTTGGAAATCATATATAAATAATCCAACAGAATTCTTAACGTCCAGACATTGTTTTTACATTCAGAATTCGAGCACTACTTAAGAAACGAAAACATATTTGTGCACATCACCGACATCGCAAAATCCAAAATGGATGTCAGTGACTTACTGTTCAAGCGAAAAACTGATATTTTACCGACAAACCAAAAAATACAACTGTGCCAACATTTTTAAATTTGCATGGCAGAGAAAAATATTTTATACCTCTAGAATCTTACAATCTTCTTCCTTTTATGCTTTGCTATCCTTTCTTTACAGAATTGCACTCTCACCGTTTTATATCTATCGGGCCTTGAAATTTAATATTCCACTCTTTGCTCGCAGCTTGCAAATGATTTATCCAAGTGGTAGGACAAAGACACAATAAAAGAAATAGCTGAGGCCAGATTCAAGAGGAAATTTAGCTCAGAGCAAGATTATCTGCTCTCGTATTTTTCTTAAAATTTTCTGAGAGAGGACGTTTCAAGCGCAAAAATTATTCTCACAATTTTCAAATCTTCCTTTCGTGCAAAATGTTTCTTCCAAACACTCATGTTTCATACAATCTTCGTTCCTAGGTATTAGCTTTTTCTCATTTTTCATTGTAGCAACTGCAGGAATTTTCTTCGGGGCGGGCTAGAAATTAAATCAAAACTGGTTAGAGTTGAAATGCCTTCCAAGGATTAAAAGGGCTCAAAGAAAAGCTCATTTCGTTAATGAATCCACATACCTGATTTCTGCGAGTCTTTTACTCTTATCGCGGTTGTTTTTCAATCTATTGCTCTCATCCTCTGGATAGGATAATAGTTTCGCCCCTCCTCCTCTCAGCCTCTTATTTGCGCCATACTGCTTTCTGCCTTCGAACCTATGCACATATTTACATCGGCTAATGACTAGACGTCTGACAAGTGTTTTCAGCCCATTCTTTTGCTTGTTCACAATAGAAGACATGGCCCCTGGGCTACTGGTCCCATCCGACGATTCGGATGGCTGCGATTCGGAGCGAAGACCGCCTCGACGTCGTTTTTTCCAAAAGTAAGCGTTACACTAGGGCCATTGTTCATCTTTGTCATGTTACTCGTTGTGATTTGATGAATGAGCTCTCGTGAGGGAGCGAGCTGGCGAGAGCGAACAACGAGCTCTTCTCCAGCTCCTCTCGTAACTCCCTTTGTTATGCGCACCAGCGCGTTTCGCTACACGCTCGCATGTTAATTTCGTTACGGGAAGCGAGAGGCTATTCATCAACCAGCGAAATGTGCGCGAACAGCTGTGTGAAGTGTATATTCCAGGTCTGAAAGAGGATCGAGGCGGTTGTTGCTCGATGTGGGGATCTGCCACTGCGTTCTGCTTTGTGTACTCACGGTCTCAGTGATTTTTATCGGTGCCAATACGTACAGCTTAACGAAACGTTACACAGAATTATCTGAAACTTTGTTAGGTGAGGATTCGAGTTATTAAGCAACATGCGGAGGGGGGCATCGAAAAAATGGGCTGAATTTTCTTCCTCTGCCGTAATGTACGACAAGTGTTCACTAGTTGGGAAACTGCTTACCAAAGTTGGTCTTTATTCAAGAATACGCAAACGTTCTTCAGAAACTTGGTAGAGGTTGAATTGAAGGAAAGGACCGCCAAAGTTTTCTTCGCATTCTTCACACTAGCCCTTCACTTATTGCAAAATCATTTATCGATGTCTCAAACTTATTGCTGGAGATTCTTGACACAAGAAGGTACAAAAATCACAGTGCAGGAAAACCCTCAAATAATACTTCGTTTTCTATAGGAGAAACTTCTAACATAAAAAATTTAGCACTAAATACTTTCAAAAATCGAGTGCTGTAATATTTCTATAAAGATAATTTCCAACATGTAAAAATGAGCACTATGAAGGTCTAAAAAATTGAGCGCTATAATGCTGAAGCAGATTGAAAGAAGCTGGTTGAGTAGTTTTACAATTCTGCAACTATCAACTTAGAAAAGATTTTGACGCTACTGTCCTATGCTCTAAAAATGTAAGGTGCTTTATCAAAATGAAATCCTGCCTTGTCGCATGAATGAAAGAAAATCGAAAATATGCTCTTTCTTCATAGTTTTTTTTTTTCAGAAGGACATTGTACCTGGACTTATGCACCGCAGAATGTATACAAAAACTATGAGTTACTTTGTCTAACATTGGTGGAATTACCTTTTCGATTCCTATTCAGAACATTGTTTAGGGATCAAAGGAGAAGAGGGGAGGGAGATTAAAAGCACTAAAATAAGGTCATATCTCGTTCGATGATTTCCAGATTTTTCACTTGTCACTTGCTGCTTACCGATTCCACTGGAAATTCAACGTGCAATCCAAAAAACTAGTGATCGCGTTCGTTACCATTTTCCGTTCAACTATACAATTTCTGAGAATTGTCCCATGACATATTTTTCCCTTATGATAAATACTAATGGAGACATTTTAAAAGCAAAATGATGGCATATACGATTGCGTGCAAGTTCAAATGCGGTTTTATATGGTAAAAAGATCCTGCGGGTAAAAATGGCGAAAAAAATCTGAAAAAACAAGTCGTGGGATTTCGTGCAAACGGTTTTATGAGAGACAAGAAAGTTAACATTATTTGCAGTACATGTTGCAGAATTAGTATAATGCTTTATTGACAAATCTAATAAAATTAAGCATTGGCGCACAAATGGAAGGAAGTCGAAAAAATGCACTTTCTGCATAGTTTATTTCCTCAGGAAGAGATACTACCTGCAAGTATTGACCTACATATATATTTAATTTACCCTGGACAAAATCTTACTTTTGATAGCCTATTTTTGTTTTTAATTTTCTAACATAATTCTGCGTGTGAAGGGCGCTTACTGTGGCTGTTAGAACTGGTACCTAAAATTCGGCAAAATTCTTAAACCAAAAGAATATCAGAGACTAAACAGCCATTTATGCTTTTATGGCACATTGTATCTTTTTTCTGTATTCACCAGTTAACAGCTCGTTAAATTCTATTGATTCCGAGTTTCTGCTAGATTTGATTTTTTCTTGCGTACAAATGCGTAAACTTCTCGTTTTTTCAATTACTTCTAGAAGGATCCAAAAATTTATGTAACTTGATGAAAATGCATAACACCAATTACCAGTGATCTTATGGTCAAAGCAAGTGAAATTCTAGCAGATCTGTGAGGAAAATGTCACTAATAATGTCAACTAATTTTCTTGCTAGCCATTAGTAAAAAAAAAGTCATACTTTTCAGAAAAACGGGTTTTGGGCATAATTTTCAGGTTTTAGACCTCAAATCTCGTTTAAATTCTTACAAAAAATCTGCCAGGCTTTGCCAACCATGAAGACGACTTCGATAAAAATCAAGCAGTAATGCAGCGCAGTACACTTATATGTTTTATGGCGCATCGCAAATCTCCGCCATAAAAATGATCCCCCAGATTTTAGTAGCCATCATCTTCTTTCGCAGTAATCCCAGCATCGGCTTCATTACTATACGCCCTATAAACTTTTATTAGCTAGTCTAAGCAGAAGATTACCTTCGTTTCCAATCGGCACGGCTGTCAGATGCAAGCAAAAAATCAAAAGTCTTCGACTTGAAGCGAGCCTTCTGAATGCATCTGTTCATCAAAAGGATGGGTAAAATGAGAGGAAAATGTCTGATTTCAATGTTAGCTTAGTGATACAAATTGCTTTTTCACATCTGAGATTTGAGACACATGATAAGAGCTACAATTTTAAAAATATCATAAAAACCCTTACTTTGGCGAAAAAAAGCCAACAAAAATTACTCGTAACATAAAAATACCAGGGTAGACTCAGTTTGCCAATAACCGTCAAAAATCGAAACTGTGTCTGTTTTAGACATTAAAATTGTGATGAAACTCTTGAAACTTTTTTCCTGGATTTTTGTAGAATGATCACAATAACAATGATCAAGCGCTGTTTGACATTTCTCGGGAATTTATTGTGAAAAACTTTCTTATTCAGGCTCTGGCAAAGTTTCTGTCCATAAATCAAGAGAATTACTTGCTTCCTGTAAAGAAAAGGTTCGTAAGGTTTAAGTGAGGTTTGATGGTGACCAGGATATAGGTAATGTTATAAATCAAGATGTGGACCCAATTATTACAAAATTTTTCCGAGCTTGTGCGTAATTCCATCAGTAGATTGTGGAACTCTTGCATAAATCAGAGAATCAATCTAGGCATACCCCTGATTTGGCGTATTCTTCCAGACCATTCTCTAGATTTTATCTCTGTTTTCAGCTTTGAAATTGTTACCGCATCGCATCGAGACGTTAGATGTGCAGTTACACAGATTGAGAATGGAGTTTGATTTGTGGAAAGAGAATTCTCCACGTCATCTGAATCAGACAAAAGACACAACGGAATACGTTTACGATGCTCTTGAGCGAATGTCTGGAGACGTAGAGGAAATGAAGAAAAAGGTTTCCTTGGTATGTATTTTAACACTTCAATGCCGATTGTTGTGATCTTTTTCGCGCTTATGAGCCTTTTTCAATGACCGCTGTGGGTATATGGTAGAGGCAAAATCAGCTGCCTGCACTTCTGCGTAAATTGTGAGAGATGACTACTTTCTCGGGGATCAACCATGGCACTAATTTAGCACGACAGGGTCTTCTTTGCATGATCATGGTGGGATTATAACTGGATTTCTATGGCTTCATGCAGATCTTTGGTTCTGATACATCTGCCACATAACTACCATGAATCCTTAAATCACTCGCAGAAGACCATCATTTTCTTGATAACAAAGTGTTAGTGTATTCTGAAAACGTATACTGAAGACTAGTTAGTGACAAAAATATAGAATTAAATCCGTCTAGCACTTCTGTATCAGGTTTTAGTAAAACCTGAGTTCTTAATCTGGGGCTTGGTTGACAGTATAATGTATCTGAAAGTGTCTCTAACAGATAGAATTATCGTATGGTTACATGAGTTTTGTTACACTTTTCTGGACTTCCTTCAGAAAATCCAGAAAATTCGGCAACGAAACACATTTGGCGTATGCAGTTTTTTAACGGCACTCCAACTTCCATATTCTTAACTTTTTCTAAATTCTCTCGGTGCTTCTATTTCAACTTTTTAAGGTTTTTCGTGGATTTTATTGAACACAATAGTGATACGAAGGCAGTTGGGAGGTTCTGGCTCTTAACTAATGCAATTTGAAAATTACCAAAAATCATTAAAACAATTTTCAAAAATTCAAAAATAGCAGTCTTAATGTGTGACACGTATAAATGGAAAATCTACAACATTCCACACATTATGGAAATAAGTGAATTTCAAGGAATATTGAGATTTGTAACAATTCAATGCAACCAACTCGCTACGAAAACTCTTTAATACGGAATCCTTGCTCCTAAAATCTAGACCTGCACAGCCTTTTCGTACGCAGATGTGTAACTGCACGCAACAAGCAGACTGCGTAAAATCCAAAGGTGTACTGCTCTTGAAACGCATGCCATTCAGGCATTGAGTGCAACTCTCTTTTCTTGTTTTTTTTTTGCCTTTGAGGGCACCAAGCAAACATCTAGCAATGTTTTCTGCAAGATTTAAAGCTGTGTTCTCGCCCAGGCTGTCGACTTCTCCGTCAAATTTTGCGCTGCAACACTGACTGTGCTTTGCATAAAAGGATCTCCAAAAATTGGTAAAATCAGTTTGGAATTGTTTTTGCGCTTTTCTGGGCCGTACAACGAGCTTATAGCGCTTCGACATTAAACGATTTCAAATGCTTGCGCTCAGGGTTATACAAGGCAGGTAAACAATAAGTTTTTACACGCCGTGTAAGTTAAACGGCCAATAAGATTTGCGCACAGCGCGTGTTGTGTGCAGCTGCGTAAGTCAGGTGGCTAAAGATTGACTGTGCGTGTTGTCTTACTGGAGTTGGGGCCTGCATTTAAGAGCGTGGGTTGGAAATGTCTATTTATTGCAATCCTTGTTTGAGACGATGGCTTGCTATGTTAGCTGCAGATTTTGCTTTGCAAAGCTTGATGTATTTCAACTCCCCAAAGCTGTCGAAAGAGCTGTCTGTCCATCAAAACACAAGTACAATTTGAGAACAAGATGATATTGACATGTTCCAGGCTTCTTCGGTGACGGAAGATGTTACACGAAGGCTGTCGACAGTGGAAACGAGATGCTTGAACGTATGTCGAACGTCAATGGCGAGGGAGAGGGAGAAGCCAAGACGTCGTCAGGCAACGAAGAATGCGCTGCCTACAGATGCTGATGATGAAGTTGTATTTAGAAGAACTTGATCTCTATGGGAATAGTTAGAAAATTCAAACTCCAAGAGCTGTCTTTCTTCACCTTAAACTGTTCCTCCAACTATTAGTCACAAGTTTGTTTGCTTATAACAGCGCTTTAAGGGTAATCCAGGTGCTCAATAATGTGATGGTCCTCGTTCTCGTAAATTGTGCTGACTTGACCTTTCAGAAGTTCTTGTAAAGAGTTTTGCGTTTCACTTGTGCTGTGTGCTTCAGTCATTCTTGCGTCTGAGTTCATGTTTGTTCTATCTCCTTGTTTGTTCTATGAATCTCGCACATCACAATTGAAATGTAGATGCTGCCATTTTATGTGCGTGTGTGGAAGCTTGGTGTGTGGTATTGATGAGTTAAATAAATGATACAAATGACCTATGTACGTTGTTCAAACCCACAATATCAAAATTTGGGAAAGTCTGCAGATTAGAGAGAGTCAATTATTGCTTGCTCGTAGTTAACGACACCGGCTCGTAATGATATGCGACAACTCAAACTTTGATGACCGCCCGCACCCGTTGGACGAGGAGTGTGGACATACGTTTCATCAGTCAATATAGGGGCCCGCAGGATCGCGAGAGTCGGACGTGCGCACGGCCATTGCGCCGCGCACGTCTGTCACTAGGGCAGGTACTTATCCGTTCCAGCCGGTTTTCAGTTCATAGGTCAAATCACTATATTGTCCAACAGCAAAGTGGTGAACCGAATAAACCTGTTCAACAGGATAAGTCTGGCACCTACCTGAGTCGTCGGACGCACATCTGACGTGCGTGGCGCAATGGCCGTATGATCGTCCAACTCTCGCGATCCTGCGGGCCCCTATACCAGTAACGATGAGAGAGGCGATTCCTTTCATGTGAGTGCACCAGCGACGAGCCGGAGCAAAAGATCAAAATCAAGGTCAACATCATCTTTATCAAATTTGGGTACAGGGAATGCGGAGTAACACTGGTTGTCTTGAAAAAACTGCAGTTGTCGCAAATTATCCATTCTGACAAGCCAACGGTTGCGGCGAAGCGTCCCAGCACGTGAAGTACCGCAGAGACAGTTATGTCTAGTATCACGCCTTTGTAGTTTGCCCGGCTATTTGAAAATCTAAGATTTTGGAAATTCGGGAGTCGAACATTCGAAATTTTCAGTTTCCGAATTTATTCCATATTCGAATATTCGAAAATCTCAACTTTTCGAAAATTTCAAGCTTCGAATATTATTCGAAAATCGAATATTCCATGACCATCAAAAAAAAACACAGCACGTCATTGTAAAAGTTTCTGTCAAGCTACAACTCTCAAGGGAGAGCGTATATAAAAGAAGAGAAAACAGATTACCTAATTTCCGTTTCGTTCCCGTCACTATAGGGAAATTCAAGTAGGAATACTATCTTCCCGGAACTTATCAGTAACAAGGGAAGATCGTAAGCGTGAGAGGAAAAAAGAAAGGAAAAGGGAAAAACAAAAATAAACTAACCTGAAACAGAGTGTAAATTGAGTATCCATCGTAGTGACTTGTTTTATCATGGCAGTCTATAATGTAATACGATGAAGTGAGTATGGACAAGGAATAAAGAGAGCGTTAGGGTAAGTAAAAAGCAGAACAACAAAAGATTATGACTACAATCAAACGATAGTTTCAAAAAGAATAATTTGGAGCTCAATGACAATTGAGCTAATGAACAATGGAGGGTATAATCGTATAGGTGTATGGACTGGAGTGCAAAATTCGTTGGTGAAGGAAAGATAAGCGAGGATTATGCAAGTGCTAAAGAGTTTTATTGGGGTTAGATTAGGTATAGATTCGACCATCATTATTTTACTGTCTTTACCAGAACAACAATATTTGGTAATTCTAAATTTATTTTTATGTAAGCATTTGAATATGGAACTCAAGATAAAACGTTCACTATATTCGTTCTCGATAGGGTGTTTCCTAAGAATATCAATCCCATGCAAAAATCTTCCAGTAAGGAGCATGTACGAGCAAATCTTAGTGTTTCTGTATGAATTGTTGCTTTGTTGATATTTGTGGAAATACAAGAAATCGCATGAGGAAATCGTTTTACACGGTTACAAAAATTTTCATTTTTATTATATAGCTTTGTAAGAATCTTGTTGTCTATTACGTGTATCTCAAGAAATTTCTATCTAACATTATATGTTGGGAAAACTTGTATTCGAAGTAGGAAAGAGTCAAGTCTGCTAGAAGCGGAGTAGCGTTTTCTCCTTGAGGTACTCCTTTTGTTTGTACATAAAGTTTATTTGAAAATTTGCAGTACCCATCAATAATAGGTAGTCAATTAGATATAGTAGGTCATTTATTTCATAGTATCTACAATATATCTAATATATTCTCTTTCATTACAGTAGAATATTTTATTGTATCCATTGACTATTGATTTTCATTTGAAAGTATATGTCTTAGGTCCTTTTAGATTTTTATGTTTTTAATGGTTGAAAACTCGCACAGAGTTTTTGCATGCAAGTACAGGGTGTCCCAGTAAATGCACACTGTTCAATCGTGAATAACCTCCTTGCTTTGATGTCTTTAGCCAGCTTTTAGGTAGCATTCTAATAGAGCGAGTCTCAACTTAAATTCACAGTATAGAGCAGCATCGACCTTTCTTCATTACTGTACTGCGGTAGGAACTTCGACAAAAATTTTAGGCCAATGGAGGCCATATTCTACCTCAGAACAAAGCCACTATACTAAGGTAATGGAAGCCGCCAATTTCGAATATGAAACCGCCACTTCAGATGCTTCTTTCCTAGGTTATCCCAAGTAGACCGTGATAACCGAATTCCCAGCATTTGGCAGAAATGTGATTACACCGTCAAAAATCTGAAAACACTGGTAAAAAGTTATGTTTTGAAATCAGCCTGCGCAAAAACTCTAGTGCACGGTTTTTCAGATTTAAAAAAAAAAAACTGATGGCATATTTCCGAGTGGTTCCATATGCTGGAAGTTCTTACCGTAATCCTACAGCAATGAAGAGCGATCGGTAATTCGCTCCATACGTTAATGCTTGAACTTCGCTCTAAAGAATGGTACCTAAAGGTCGGCGAAATACTACAAAGCAAGGAAGTTACTCACGATCAAACAGCGTGCACTTTTTTTGGGACATCTTGTGTTTGTCCAGAAATGAAGAGTATTTCATTTATTGTAGAGTAGTAGTCGTATAAAAGGGAACTACAAAGACCCACATTACTTGTAAATCATTTGCTTGGCCATGTCAACACTGTACATAACATTTGATTTTTCGAGCCATATTCGAAAATCGATTGTGTTTCCTTTGGACGTGAGCATTACTTGAAATCAGTGCACTCAATATCAAGCTAGTCATGCCCTCCCAAGTTGGATTTTTAAGCGCATGCATGCAACCCCAATGACTTCACATCCTCAACCGCTCATAACTTCTTGCAGAGAACGGCATCGCAGATATGAAGGTAGATTGAAATCAGCTCATCACGACGCACGTAATGATATGCGGTTCAACCCAATTCGCCACCTTAAGTTGGGATCACTTTCTTGTAAGGAGAATTGTTGATCAGTTTTTGAGGTTGGTGGATATTCTGTAGAATTACAAAAATGCGAAGCAAAACATGGAATTGTGCTATGTTGGGGACGTCTTGTCCTGGGTTTAGCCTAAATGTTTGTACGACGATGTTTTTTGCAGGATTGTACATTCTTGATCTAGCTCAGTGATCTTCATGCAGAAGCCTACTGGATCGAATACCCGTGATTTTTAGCCGAAACGCTCAAAAGCTCCATCATTTAGGGCTTTGCACTATGGGTTAGCAAAGGAAATGTTGCAGTTTTGCTAATTATGCGAGATTTATTTTTATTGATGAAGATAACAACCTGACGTCGACGAGGTCAATGCTGCACTGCGTAGACGAACAAGTATTTTGAACCGCAGATTGTAGTTTGAAGTTATCTCTTGCTTCAAAGATGCAATGCACTTCCGGTGCGCAAATCAGAATTGAGTCCTAGCTGGGGAGATAGGTCGGTTACACATTAGAGTTGGAAGAATAATCATGCCTGGCACCTGCCATGACGCCAATGATCGAGCGCCCCCATTTGCGATCGTGGCGATTGATTTCATGCATAACGGTTGCGAAACCACTAAACAACACTCAAAGCGAGAGTGCTTATTATTATTCTAAAATCTACGATTGGAAGCCTGACGCAAGATCCGGTAACGAGCAAATGTTGAAGGGCTCGTTTAGCCGTGGAGCAGCAGCGCAACCCGTTAGCCATAACGGAAGCCAGCTGATGAGGCCCCAGTTTTCATATGTATGTTTTTGTTCTTTAACCTCGTTTTTGATGTTTCTCTCAATAATAAACTCTCATTTTCGTCATTTTCAAGCCAAACTGGTGCATGATAATTTTTGTCTTGCATTCGTTAAGTCAAAAATGGTTTGTATTCTCAAAATATTGTCATTTTTCAGTCTCGTCTCAGTTCTTCTTGTTTTCACTTATCAATGCTGCCTACTAACTACATCTTCATCCTTTGTCATTCTGATGTAGACGAACGTAGTTCGTTACTCCTCATACATTTGCAATACGGGTTTGCGCAGCTCTTTTTTATTCTATAATCTCGCTTCGAATTTCGTGCTTTCTTCCGATCATCATACTGTGTAGATAATACTTTCAGTATGCTCGATAATGCGTAGCTCCGCGTGTGTCCAGTCTGCCAAAATGGTCCATTTCCGTTGCGCAATTTGTATCTACATCTTCGAAGCGTGCATGAATGCACTGAAGAAGACATCCGATTTATCCAGCACGATTTCAAGAGGTCCACTACACGGAAGAGTTTAGATGTGGCACATGCGAGAAAATATATATCACATATGATCAGGGCCCCTCACGAGGTGCGCAAAAGGGGTTTTCGAAAACGAATTCCCCTTTGACCCGAATTTTCTTTTACGAATTCCCCTTTGACCCAAAAATTGGTCCCAGTGATTGCGTAATGAACAATTTACCCAAAGAACAATTTTTATTCAAGAAAAGAACAATTTTTATTCAAGAAAAAAAAACAGAAACAATTCATTCGTAACAAAAAAACAAATGAGATCACTTTTGAGATCTCTAAAATGAGGTCATTGAATACAATAGATCATTTAATATTGAATACTATCTCCGTGATTTTATCGTATCGCGCTAACGGGAACGGAACATCTGATTCCTATAAATTACAAAAATGATGCCTTAAAAACGAAGCATACTTTGCAATATGACAACCATTCATTCAAAACACCAGCCTCAATGGTAAATCCATCCATATAGTAAACCAAAGGCTTTCCGCAACCACCACCTCGTGCGCGAAAAGCCAATGCTTCCCTGACAAAGATAGATTCCAAGGACTTGGTAGCATCCGAGACCGGAGGAGGCGACGGATCGTCTACAGAATCTCCTGTAGAAGAGTGTACATTTGCAAAAAACATGCATGAGTGGTCCATAAAACAGTTCACACCTCTATGTAGCGCAGCCGGTGCATCGCCCGCCGTGTCGGAACTATCAGTACCGCCTGAAGCCGTTTCTGCTTTTCCTTTTTCATCCATGCCTAGCGCTAGATACTCGCGCTAGACATGTTAAGCGTTCATCATAAGCTAATCATAAAAAGATGCAGATAACTAACCAGATTACTATGATACCAGTAAGCCTGCGCCACAACATTCACAATGAGTGGGCGGCTGTAACATCTGTAACAATTGGCACTCTTCAAATTTGTCAAACACAATTTCTTGGAATCTCATCTCTGTAATTCAACAATGTAAACAAAGGTAAAAACCTGAACTCTATCCACGAACCTGATAATACTCCGCTGTGACATTCAAAAATTCATTCTGCAGTACGCGACAATACGCATCAGGCAAAGCTGTCAGAAGTAAAGCTATGGCATTCAGCATGAGATATGGTCTCGGTGGCTGAGCTCTTGAGCGCACTAGCAGACTAATCATTGCGGGCACGATGTGCTGAAATGTAAGTCAGTAATTTATGGTTGTTTATCGCACTAGAAAGCATTCTAATCATGATCCTATTTATAAGACAAAAATTCATAGTTCGCAAGCGAAAGAGAAGATACAACTACAGCGGCGCTGAAATGGCTATGCAGGCGCAAAACACGCCAACGTCTAATCAAAATCTATCAAACAAGGATGATCAATGGGTAATGCATTCTAGATTGCCGAAAAAAAAAGCGTTATGCTCAAATCAATGTTACCTCGAGTGTGTGCGGACTAGCGAGAAGCTCGATACATGCCAGGTAAAGAGCCTGCGCGGCTGGCGGGTATTCAGCGAACCTCCAGTCAGGTGCCACATACGAGGGAGGACTGAAATACAACAAGCAGGAAACTCTCACGATAGACCCTGGCCAGACTTCGCTCAAAAGCGCCCAAAAGCGCTCAAAAGCGCCTAAATTTCTCTGGCGTCTCTTCACTTTCTCATATGAGGAGAGATTAGAGAGAGTGAGGAGAAGCTAGAGAAGTTTGGGCGCTTTTCGGCGCTTCTGAGCGCTTTTGGCGCTTTTGAGCGAAGTTTGGCCAGGGCCATAGATTTCAAACAAACGTAACCACAGCAAGGAAAAGAATTTCAATAGCATGTCCGAATTCAATTGTGAACAAATGTAAAGTTCAAGGAATGAAGGTATGAAAATGAAACCTACGTCAATATGAACTCGCTGCAAGTGATTATCCTATCTGCCAATTCATAGATCAGTTCTTCGAACGAGTAAACTCTTTGATGGTTATCGTTGATGAATGACTGTGTCAGAGAACTTTGATCGCCTGAAAAAGAGTATAAAAGGGCGAAACACAAGCACCTGTGTGACATACCTTGACACAAAATAGCCAACACAAACTGTCGGGCTCCCGGATGATGCCCCAATTGTCGAATAAAGGAATTTGGTGGGATATGCTGAAATTTAGACGTTTGAATCGCAAGTAATTCCAATTCCTCTCGCGTTTGTCGAGAGGAACTGCGGCATCAGCTGGATTGAGTATATAAAAATAACACAGAATGTAGGTTGATAACTCAGAAGTCATAAACACTTTCAAAGGTACTAGTCGTCTGCTGACCGTCACTCATCGGCGTCCCATTGGAGACCATGCGCGTAGGAACGGAAATGAGCTGTTGCGGTGCCTGCAGGATCATAGGTTAAGGAGAAAAAGTACGATTACAGAGAGACTTACCTGCATCGAATTCATTGTGATAACACGACCAGTTACCGGTACTTTCCTCAGTTGATGTAACTGCACCATTTGTGCTGTCCCTTGAGAAGTCTGGAATTGGAAATTTGGAAAGGATCCGCAGGTTTAGACACGATCCTGATATAAAGAAGTGAAAAGAAAAGAAAGAGAAAAGGTGGAACGTAAGCAGCAATATGTAAATGACGAAATGTAGACGCCGACGCGAAAAGACTCAGCGATACGCCGCTCGATTGGAGCGCGCTTTCCTCCTTAGGAAATGGGGCTGCTGAGGGTATTTTTGCCTCTAAAAACGAGGAGAGGAGGAGGTTTGAAACCAAATTTTCTATGTACTAATCTTTAGGCTTAGAGTAGGTTTATGTAAAAATTTTGGAAAAATTATGTGAATTGAGAGTTTTGCCCACCTCAGGTGGGCATTAGGTGGGCAATTGCCCACCTAATTTGGAAATTAGTTAAGCACGCTCTTCATTCACATAAGTTTTTCATAATATTTCATATTTTATTACTTTAGTCCTATTGCGCATATACACACCGAATCCCGCGCGATTTCGTCGCCTCTGCGTTGCAAACGAGCCATTTTTCCATTTTTTTGGTAACGGGAAATTTTCGGAAAAAAGTTTGCCACAACCTTCAATCATATAGTTTTCAATGAAACTCCTCAGTTAAGCCCTGCAAGCCCATGTGCATGTACTTACCAAGTTTCATACCATATCGTTCTGTGCACTGTAAACGAGCCATTTGAATTCACACCTTCATTTACCAATTTTGCAAAACTTTCGGAAAAAACGCTTATTACTCGTTCCGTTCACATAAGTTTTTCATAATTTTTCACAATATGTTTCCACTAACCTCTCTCCGTTCGCTTACAAAATTTGGTGCCATATCGTTACGCATACATTGAGAACTAGTCATGTATGCTGTAACAAATAGCATCCTTTAAACGACGTCGCGCGCGCGGCAGTTAGCGACGACGCGCGTGAACTCTGCTGTGCCTCTACTGAGGCATGTTGCTAACATGACATGCTGAGATACGCAGATTGAGGCAACGGCTGTGGAAAATTGACCACTCAGAATCAGTGTAACGCTATTAGCTGCTCTTTTTTTGCATAGTAGACATTCTGATAAAGTTGTAACGCTATGATATCTCATTGTATGCAAGTTCAGATGAGAAGGGCTCGGCTTTGCCATCGTAACGATCAATTTTTTTCCGTGGCTCCGCCCCGGACCCCGCAGAAACGATTTCCCTTTTGCTTTTTGGCCCTAAAGCGATTTCCAGCTTGTCATTCGCCCACCTCGTGCCGGGGCCTGACATATGATGGATTGAAGCAGCACGTAAAATTGAGAATCTTTCATCATCTTGTTATTTTGCTTAAGACCATCTATCTCATCTTTTCCCCCATGTTAACTTGTTAGACATTTATCATGCTAGTATGCGAAGTTCGCGCGCATATGAATTATGAACTTCTTCAGAATGCTTTTAAAAGAAGCAGCTAGAGCTAATGAAAGAGCTGAGAAAGTGGTTGGAGGATGGAGTGGAGAAAACGTCGGTGAAGGTTGTCAATTTGGGACGTTTTGCAGGAAGAAAGAAATGCAAACGACTGGAGTCAGACCTAAGCCTAGTCACACACAGCCGCCGTTCAAAACTTTGTTTGATCTTAACGTTGCAGTATGGAGGTTAGCTTATCATTTTTAGAGGTCCGCAATTAAATTTGCAAGAAAGAAGGAGGCTGTAATTGGTAGACGAATTGACGGAGAATACGACTCAGCAAATAATGCAGCTCGACCACGTATTCTTGCAAACATGTTTTCTTTGTGGCAAAAGGGATCCGCCTGAGGATGGAGAGAATATTGCACTATGGCTAGAGCCAGTTTGAAATTTATTTTTTTCCTTCACACCTCTTTTTAATTTGTCGGACCGTTACTCATCTGAGCCGTATTTTATCATTTCTACGCAAAATCCTGTTTATTCTATTTCGAGTATGCTTAGTACTTTTCCGCTTCTTGAACATGCTTATTTTGCTGCACTTAGTGCATTTTCTCTGGTGTTACAGATCCGGTGAACACCGTGTTCAACAATTTGGTCAAAACTATTTCCATATCCTCGAGCTGCTCGCTGAATCGAAACCGGTCAAACATGTACAATCTAATAAAGTCATATGATGCAGTCATAAATACCGCACCTCTCACTACATCTACTACTCAGGTTGTATTTTTTTTTGTGCTTCTTGTTTTTTGTACGCGGGCTACTGTAATTGCTCTTGAAAATCTTTGTGTCCCATATTCTCATGCTTTCGAATGTGCTCCCTTTGTTTGTGATCGTTATAGAAGGTACTTGGTCAATAAATCATTAATACATGCATGCCTTTTCCTTCACAGCTGTAGGATTTATCCTCGAAAAGGAGCCCTTCAAAAGCGTGGCTAATTTTGTGATTGCTCTCGAAAATATTTCTGTTCCAGATTCTCGGGCCCTCATTAGTGCATTTCCTTTGGTGCATTTCTTTTTGGTAGGTAATGCTTTGGTGTTGATTCTGTGAATTTCACGTTACTTATCCATCTGCATTGTTTTTCTACTTGGAATCAAAAATTGAAAATAAGCATATCAGTCTGAATAGCTGAATCACAACAAATCGTCAACCCTAATCACGAACGTTATTAGAACATAAGAAACATCAGTCACCGTAATGGAGAATGGAAAGGAAACATGTGTAAGGTGAATAAAGGGCTGATCATGCCGCGCTCTAGAGCAACCAACCTACACAATTCAAATTTACCAGGCGACTAGTGAGGTAAGGACGACTATACTCAACGAAACGTTGAGCGTCGCTCAATGCATGAAAATTAAAGAGTAGGAGTGTGGCAGCACATTTCTGAATCGCTGAGCGATACGACTAGTTATCGAAGTGTACAGATACTCAATAAGAACCAAAGAAAATGCCTTGTTATGTGGATTCCGTAGAATCAAAGAAACTTTGACGGAGACTGCTGTTAATCTGTCACTTTTATCAACACACGTCGAAAGTCAAAACGTTGATGAGCACCTGCAACCCGAATTGTTTAGGTGCATTCGAAATAGCTGAAGGACAAGGAATGCGGGTAAGGCAAAGAATTGCCTAGCGTATCCGGCAAAAGGTAAGCCAGGTAAGGCTTATCTTTCGCTAGGAAGCGAAAGGTCGTCCGAACAGGGACATACTCTCAAGGTCTTACAGTTTGAATTTGGACGAGTGGAACAATATCCGCCAAATGTAAAGAGTTGCGGGGCCTTACCACTTCAACTGTGTTGATAAGCGTACTCAGCTGCACAAAAGGGCACAAGTGGGACTGGCTATACTTCTAGGGTGTAAATTCCCTAACGTATTTCTCGTTTCTGATTTAACTTTAATTTCGACTCGCAGTTGAGGCTGCCTGACTCCGGCATTAGAAACGAGACGTTGGTGAAAATGATGGTGATAATGCTTCGCATTTCTGGGCTGACAGTTCTCAGGTCACTCTGAAATGCCTAGAGACAGGGCTAGCTTGTATGGCGTTCTATATGACATAACGTTTAGAGGTGCGTGGACTTAGCTTACCAGTCATCGCAAACTGAGCAATAACTTCGTTAGACAAAGATTTTGGCCAAATTCCTGGTGGGCAAAGGGAAGATATAAGCTTAGATTTGAGTGCGTTAATACGTGAGTGCTTTGGAAGTACGTTATGAGTGCGGGAGTCAGACACGCTAATTACATAAACGTAATTTCGCATATGGAAGCTTTCACAAGCTTACAGTGATTACAACAGAGGCAAAAATCTCAAAGTTTGCTGAAAGTATATAGGAGATTATATAAGCAGATCAAAAACTTATTATTAATTGTGACGAACACATGGCACTATTAGCGTGATGTTTTCCTTCTTCACACTCCTCGCATCCTTCGAAACATATTGTGTGTTCAAAACTGTGTGGAGCGCGAACGTTGTTTTCTTCTTTTTTTCAAACTTTCATTTGAAATTTGTTTTCTTAATCAACCATGAAAGCTTACATATTTCACATGCCAAACCAAGCTTAAAACAATTCTTTCGCGTGTTATGGCGATGTAAAGCTGACCATTTCCATCCTTAGAAAATAGCAGAAGCCTTAACATAAAGCATGAATAAAGAAGAACAAAGCTTTGGGCATTCAGTGCTACAAAATGTACTGCCTGCGTGAGCTCGTCCGCTGCGGGGCGGTGCTACCTGTATACCGTTCATTGACACCCGCGCACTCAGGGCGCCACTATTGCCAGCTATCGTTATTGTTGACATATATCCCGGAAAACAAGACGTTTTTGGTTAGATTTTAGGACCTACTACATACAAATAGCTGATTGGGAAAGGGCATAGAAAATGCTAGAAATTATTTTTATTCATTTTTATTTATTTATGAAGTACTCGAGGTGCGCCGTAAAAAAAGAAAAAACAAAAATTTCGAGAACGCAAAGTAAAGAAAGCAGCCAGATCTCAGAATTAGGAAACAGAGAAGTCTGGATACAATGATCAAAAATAGCACGAAGCCCTAGACCCACACCGACTAGCCAATTGTACAGACGAGGCAAGAAAGAGGTGGCCAGAAAGTATTCTCGAGAATCCTGCCTTCTTCAGTACCCGTGATGATCCCAATTTTTTGGGTGTCAGCGAGATCGTGGGTAAAGGTAGCCGACTAAACCCCGATGAGAATGAGTAGAGAAGGGCAAGATTCCAATTCGATGTGGTAGTAAGACCTATCGGCTATTTATAGTGAAGCGAAAAAAATCTGGTGTAGACGGGGACCTGGGCTCCGGTGGGACTATGAGATGTAGATTACGGTTCCCCACGAATGGTACTTGTTGCTTAGGAGTGAGACAGTAACCAACTTAGTAACAGAATTATCACTACAAAACTAAACTAGCACTAAACTATCTGTAGTTTTTTTTCCATGAATTTAGCTCCATAGATATTTCGAACCAAACTTGTCTGTGGTTTCGCATTTCACATCTTTTCTAATTCACTCAAAAAATTAAGCGTTTTTACCTAATGACCTGTGAAGGGAAACTTTTCCTCTTTAAAAGTAAGACTAGCTTCATCGTGCTCGAATTCCTCAATGAACTTTTGTTAGTTAAAGAAGTGTCGACTTTTGAAAAATTGCAACTCACTGTCTGAACTTGCACTTCAACTATTGTACGTAACCTTTAATTTAACGTTTGGCGGCTGGAAGGCTGGGCTTTGTGACCTGATTAAGGCCGCTCTCGTCCGCGACGCAGTCTGCGTCTCTCTCCCGCGCGTGTTCTCTGATCATTAACAAACCTTATTTGGGTCATGAAGCCCCGCCTTCTAAACGCCAAGCCAGTTGAATCAAAGGTTATATACAAAATACTCGCTTACACTTGATTTGTTTTATATTACAGTGCGTAAAAGAAAACAATTACTTTTAAGCTTTATACACCATGCAAGAAATGCACATTTTGAACTATGAACAATATACCCACTCCAGTATATATGTAGGTGCATGACTTGTATAGAAAACAAGACGCTTATGGACACTAATGGCAACTTTTTGCCTCAACGTACTATATAGAGAAGTAAAGATATGTTTACATGTAAGTTTTCTATATATGATACCCGAAAATTATTCACAAACAGCGGGAAAATCAATCACAGCTGCTCGCGGAGTTCCGCGCACTGGGGTCAAAAAAAAAGTGGTGGTATATTCAAGTCTTCAGCCGATTTTCTAGCTTTGAAAATTTTCAGTAGTGGAAGACTACGAAAACTGAGGAACGGTCTGGATACTAGCACTTTAGTCCATTTCTTTGTAGTCGACTTTCTCGCCCAACTCATTTTCGAATTGTACTCTGTAGTAGACCGTAAGCGACCGGATCCAAGCCTAAAAGAATGGAATTTGTAAATAGAGTAATTTTAGGTTAGAACGACCAACCTGCTCATTTCCAAACTTCACTTTATACACCCCTGGACCAAGGGTGCGGATTCGCAAGTAGTCAACAGTTGGCATACCCGGGTAGTCAAAGTCGGGGAACCAGTCTGAATATTACATTTGGAGTACTGTTATTGCTCTTAAATTCTATTGTTTTTAATCGACAAGAAAATTTTGATTTGTTTTGTCAGAAAAATAGATGTTAAACTTTGGGAATGTTTTTCAGATCTCTTCTTCCAGGCGTCGTATCGCATTTTAGAGGTTTTTCATGCAAGTGAATTTTTATTTGAAAAAGCATCTTCTATACGATAAGCAAAAAACCCCGAAAACTCAATTTTACTGAAAGCCCATTGACATTCTTTCTTCCCGTAAACTTTACAGCATAGAACTTACTAAGTTACTAATGTTCAAGAAACTTGTTCTATAAAATTTAATGTATACTTGAACTCTTGGATTGTTACCAGAACCACATACGACTGTTACTCACTTATAATTCAAATGCAGCAAATCAATAAAGGTATTAGGTTGGTCCGAAAGTTCTGTCCCACCATTTTCAAAAAATCGTAACTACTTCGTAACACAATGTTTTTGCATAATTAAAACCATATTGAAAAGAGCAGTTCATGCGCTTTCTAAAACTGCCCTGGCTGCTATCTAATAAGCTCTGAAAGCAGAGATAAAATTAGGAAAACGAAATCACTTCAATTGCGGACTTTTTAGGCAAGCCAGTTAAAAATTCCAAAACTGTGTCAGAAAATCCGAAGCAGCCAGTATCCTAGACTACTTCACTTCCTCTTTTTGGTTAAGCAAAGTTCGCGTTGATCGAACTGTTTTTCGAAGAGTTATGATTTTTTGAAAAAATGTCAAAAAATCAATTTTCTTAAAAAACTGAATTTTTGGCCTTTTTTTCTTAAAAATCATAACTTCTTTCGGAAGAGCTCGATCAGTGCGAATTTTGTTCAGCTGGAAAGAGGAGATCAGAAAACCTAGGATACTGCCTGTTTCGGATTTTATGGCACACTTTTGGATTTTTTAACGGGCGTGCTTAAAAATTCCGAAATTAAAGTGATTTCATTTTCTCACTTTTATCTCTGCATTCAGAGCTTAGTGAATAGCAGCCAACGTGTTTTTAGAAAGCACATGAGTTGCTCTTTTCAATGTGGTTTATTCATGCAAAAACATCGTGTTAGGAAGAAGTTAGGATTTTTTGAAAATGGTGGGACAGAACTTTCGGACCAACCTAATATCTATGGCACGCCATGGAAGTACCAGCACGTGGATGTGCCCGTCAACGTGCTAGCACCGTTCCAGTGGCGTGCCAACTTCGTTCTAGCGCCGGCACACTACAAATTTAGGCGCTGTCTTAGGCGGCTGGTACAGAATTTTTGAGGAAAACAAGGCTGCTAATTATGTTATCTGAACCTTGTGAAGTGATATTCCGTTTATCTCTGAATTCGAAAGATGGCAAGAAAAAAAGAGGTCAACCTAATCAGAAAAATACTGATTTCCACGTGAGAAGTTTTTTCGTCCCCAGATCAGCTGACGAGTTTCCTTTTCTATCAAGAGTGGAATACTATCTCGCTAAAAATTGGGAATCCAAACTACCAATGATGCGACCTTCAACACAAGCTAATGTCTTTTCAAGATGTTCAGAACAGTAAACATCTATATTTAGCATACCTTTGATGCTATTTAGAATGCAAGGTCATACTATCAATGGCTAGCGATGTTCAATGAAGTGAAAAGCTAATGTGGCAAGGCTGAGGTCAATTCTTTGTTCGGCTGTTTTACGACATGTTCGTAGATTGGATCACGCATTCTTAGGAATGCAGAGTTGCATGAAAATCACTGAGTGTTGAGTGAAAAGAGATTCAATCGCTCAAATCTGTTACAAATCAACTTACTGAAAAATTCGCTCACAAATGAACTAACCGTCCATTTCATCCAGTGGGTAGTCTACGGCAGCTGGATTTCCATGGTACCATACGCCCATGCCGAATGTCCGGTCACAAAACCTGGAACGTAGAGCCCTATGGGATAACAGCAGAAAGATAAAAATCAAAAACACATTATTTATACAAGATATTGGAAGATATGTTGCGAAACATGCAGCCCGGTGGACGCGGAAAGACAAGGGCCGTGCATACTTCACGCGATTTCAGTCGCGACGCGATTTGGAAATCCGCCAGAAATCTTCAGATCTAACACTAGCAAACTGCACATGCATAGTAAATATATTACGCGAATTGCTTAAATGCCCTATCTTCTGTACATTTAAAATGTGCTTACAGTGAATTATGAACAGTTGGAATATTGCCAAATCGCGCCGCGACCGAAATCGCGTGAAGTATGCCCGGCCCTTAAGAGGACCACATTTTGGGAATACTCTGGCCGCACTCTCTGGCCATCTTTTACACGCATAGACATTGCATCAACTTTCAAGTCCATAGAAATTTCACGATAAGAAACTCGCAAGATTTATGAGTCTTTGTGAAGAAATATTTGCTTCACGAATTTTGTTTCAAAATTTCAAATATTTACCTGTTGATGACGATGTAAGAGGGTTCTTGGCTGTTCAGCACAAAAGTGGCAATTCTCGCTTTACCCGCTGGGATCACAGCACATGTGAGATCATTAAGACCAGGAGCACGTTCATCTGGTGCCCAGTAAAGCTGCTTGGGGATAGGGTCAAATGGAATGTTGAGACGATCCCTAAAACACCGCGTATTAAAAGTTATGTAAATTCATATCCAACATTTCCCTGAATAAGTGCTACAATGCCGGGTGGCATGTTCCTCCAATGGATGTTTTTTTCCACAACTCCTTGATTTTTTGGCAACCTCTTGATTTTTTCTCACTTCACGTTGCATCAAAAAGTTGCCTCAGCTTTCATTCACACGTCCAATCATCCATCAATCATCCTCATACATTCATTTATTCATTCAATTGATTCTTTTTGGCTCTTCCAACTATTCATCCGCTTTATCAAGCATAATCATACTTTTCATACATACACTCCAGTGGCGTACCCAGGATTTCGGCTCGGGGGGGGGGGCGACAAAAAAAAATTTTCTAATGAAGGTGCTTGTAGTTAGCCACACCCCCGAAAAAAATTTTTTCATAAAGCTAAATCGAGTTTTAAAATTTTTCAAAAAATATTTTAATTACTTACAAGTATAAATAAGTCTTTTGCACATTTTTATGACTCATGTAAGTAACTTTCAAAAATTTCGCGACCCATTCTCGGGGGGGGGGGTGGGGGGGAGAGGCGCCCCCCCTCTCGTTACGCCACTGATACACTCATCTAGTCATCATTTCCATTCGCTCTTCATCACTTCATCATGCACTTTTGTAAAAAGTATTTTACATGCCATTGTTTCTTCTGACAATTTTTTAGCAATAAAATCAATGACGCAGTCCACTGGTTATCCAAGAGATTCCTCAATCGCATTTTCTTTTGCCGTTTCATGCCTCTATTGAGCTATTTTTCCAGTATTTTCAGTGATCCCTTTCTTACCGACACATTCCATCCCCGTTCGAGTCGACCAGTGTTCCTCCCCAATGCGCTGGAATATTCTCTGCCTTGGCATACTGAAAGTGCAATGGTCAAGAAATGTTCAGTGTGACGTAAATCTAAACGCTCACTTTTTGGATCAGACTCTTCCAGTCACTGTTCGTCGAGCAAATTTTCACTTTATTTCGGGTTCGCTCCGGTATGAGCGGGCCAACTGCCTGAAGAAAAAAATTCAGAAATCAGACCCCGACTACATTTCGATTCCATACCTTCCATAGCAGTGTCATGAATGAAGGAGCATTCACTATGAACATTTGCGAGATCCATTCTGGATAATTTGTATAGACCGATGCCCAAAGGATACGATATGGGCCTGAAAAATGACGCATTGATCAAGTGTGAAGTAATTGCAAGACTTGTATTAATTATCCCTTACTTAAGTGAACTACCCCTTCCAAGAGGAAATTAGAGGTTCCAGGCCACCGTCAGCTGATCAATTTAGAGATGAAAGTCAACTAAGAACAAGTTTGCAGACTAATACCAGAGAATAACGATTTTGCAAAAAATTCAAAGTAGGCGATGATGGACTCTGTGTTCGATTTTTCGCGGCGCAAAGATTACAGGAGAACAAAGACATTCAATGTGAGACGGTTTTGGATTCGCAAACATAGATGTGCATTAAAGCCTCCTCCTCCAAACTAATTTAAACTATGATTTATTGAATTTTGACTTCAAATTATACTATAATTTATGGGAACTCGAATTAGTCTGGTTGTCGCACGCCAATTTTCAAATCTTCTGGATCACATCAAGAATTCAAAACCTTCCCTTTCTGGTATATACGCGCCACACCCCTTTATGAGAATAAGTCGCGCTCCTCCCCTTCGTTCAAAAAATTTTTGAATGGTGACTCATAGTTGTATTACAGATATCCTGTGCATCACCGAACGCCAATTTAATTTGCACAAATTCAGAAAGGACAAGAAATAAATGTTCCCTTACTACCCCCTATACTTGGGTCCGAATCGAATAGAAATTCGATCATTCGAATAAAACATTCGAATATATTCGTATTCGAAATTCGATATTCGGAGTTCTTCCATTTTCGAATAATATTCGAAACTCGAATAATTGAGAAAACGGGGTTTCGAATAAAATTCGAAACTCGAATAATCAAAAAACAGGGTTTCGAATATTATTTGAAAACTCGAATAATCAAAAAACGAGGTTTCGAATATTATTCGAAAACTCGAATAATCAAAAAACGGGGTTTCGAATAGATTTTATTCGAATGTTTTATTCGAATGTTTATTCGAATTCGTATTCGAATGTACTCCGTATTCAGATAATTCGACTTTGTTGCAGAGACAAATGCTGAGTATCAAGCTCAATTCGTCCGCGTTTTTTTTTCGCAAAACTCGGTAATGCATCTTTTGCAACCGGTATACCTTTGAACTGTATGGAGAGTCGCATTCTTCCAACTGCTTGCGACAGTAAAAAAATCATAAGTTTAATTGATGTTTTTTCGATCAGTGGGACTGTTCGCACTGCTACTGGCACCAAATCAGCAAAGAAGATATCAAATTCAAGCTCATGTTCTGAGTTCATACTGAATTGAAATGGCTGTTCTTCTTTTTTTGCATTGCTCATACTTGCGGTACGCAAAGCCCACACTAGTGAGCACTCTTGCTCGCATAAATCATTTCAAAACTGCCTATTCGTTACCTTAGAGTTTTTTGCGAATTGGTGTATATTGAGTAAAGGACATCGCAGTTGTAGAGCAGAACTAGACGGTTTAGATCGCCGTACGCGATTTGCCAGTTACGAGATGTCTTCAGATGTAATGGCAGTTTACCACAAATGTTTAGCGTGTACAATATACTAAAATAAAATGATAGATGCCCTGCATTCTGTACTTTCAGAATAGGTTTTGGACAATTTGAGTATTGCCATACCACGTCGCCACTGAAATGCCTGCAGTATGCCCGGGGTTATAGGGGCATTCGTGCTCGCTTCGCGCAGGAAACCACATGCCTTCGTCTACGACTAGCGTATACCACACAAGACGAAAGTCTCCGATGAACAGGCAATGTATCGTAGCATTTGTGGAATTTAAGTACATATGTGGCCACCTTATTGCTTCAAAAGATCGCACACCTAGCGCTATGAATCCGAACAGCTCGTTAGGTGCTTACACCAAGTTGCAATGTTTCTCATTTTTAGATTTTAGCTCCAGCCAATTTTATCTTTACTCTGCTAAACGTCTTTGAAATCCAGTGGAAGCCTGACAAATAAGGTCTGCTGTCGAACAAAGCCGCAGGATCAAGGTGTATAAATGCGGCTCTTACCCGTGCGGTGGATAACGCGCAAGGATCACGAAGTGCAGCCGCTTACACGACGCGCGCGACCGCTCAAAGCTGGCTGGTGCACCTTCACGGATTATGGACAAAAATTTGCTTTATCGATTTTATCGATTTTTGGAGAAGTTTGAGCTGCGGGGCTGGGAGTTGGTAAAGGGGTAAATGAGGGCGCTGATTAAAAATAAAATTTACCATCGATTTCACCGATTTTTGAAAAAACTTGAGCTAGGAGTTGGTATAGGGGATACTAGGGGCTGATTATAATTGAATCGGCTTTAGCCAGATATGTCGGCAAGTTTAAGATGTGATTGCTTTAGTTATTCGATAAATCATTCGAATATTTATTCGAAATTCGACTTCCAATGTTCGAATATATTCGATATTCATTCATTCGATATTTTTGATTTTCCGAATTTATTCGAAATTCATCCATTCGATATTTTTGATTTTCCGAATTTATTCGAAATTCATTCATTCGATATTTTTGATTTTCCGAATTTATTCGATATTCGTTTATTCGAGATTTTTTATTTTCGAGTTTATTCGATATTCATTCATTCGATGAAAAATTATCGAATTACCCAAGTATACTACCCCCCCCCCCCTCCCTCCTTCCTTGTGAAACCCAAGGTACAGCTTTTAGAACATCATCGACACATTTGGACTCGTGACCACCGTAAAGATTACCTCGTAGTTCAACTGACCTGTAACGATGCTAAGAAGAGAAGCGTCGAATTTCAGCCCCTCGAGATCCAGAATATAGATCACGGAAGCCTAAATTTGTGCCTTTGACCAATATCAGGAAAAAGAAGCCTGTGGGCTTACCTGCCTCCCATTTCTTGCTTCAAGTTCTTTCATTGCTGACAGCATTCTTTCTTGCAGACAAAATCGTTGGATAAGAAAGTCAGAAAGTTGCACAGATTTCAGAATCCCTACGAGGTCGATTCGTCCAGCGCATTCGATTACCAGTAAGTTATTATCTTGGCCAGTTTCTCCTGAAAAGCCTCAGTCATTAGTCTAAAAATAAAACAGAACTAGCAAATACTGACCAACTAATCCAATTGGAAAATACTGTTTGAGTATTTTATGTTCAGGAACTTTCTCGGAGTTGTCTAGGTCGTAAAATCTACGGAATTTGAGATGGCGTCGAAGCTGAGCTGATGCCTCTTCCAAGTCAAAGCCATAGCCCTGCAAAGGATATCATTAGTTGTCATTTTTGCAAGAGATTGGAATGGCAAAATACTTCCACCAGCTCTTTAGCCTTCAGTGGAATAAATAATCGATATTTTCTCTCGTCCTTTTAGGGTTTCATTCAAAAGGTGTAATTTGGAAAAAATCGACTGTCTCTTTTTTCTTTACTTTTTTAAAAAAGCAGGTTTATGAAAAATCACTTTTGAGCGTTTATCAAGACATATTCTAAAGTTTTAATAATCGTAAGAATTTGAACTCCGATGTTAATGAGAAAGCCAAGAAAAACTAATGAGATCTCAGGTCTTACTGTCTTTGCTATTTTATCCAATTTTCATAAATATCACTGATTTTTTTTGATTTCCAGAATGGCCCTTCACACAATTCCGCGACAATGCCACGACTGGAAATAAATATGTTTGAAACTCTAATCTTGATCAAGAACCTGTTTCAAATCATCGAATTGCCGCTTATTATTGCTAGATCTGGCATTCTATCTGGAAATCTATGCTTTTGCGCTTGAGAGCAATGATCTGCTTTCATTCTGATAAAAATTTATATGTTTTTGGGAAGAAGTTTGAGCTCAGATGACTACGAAAAGTATATTCAAATATGATCAACACAGGCAGAAACTAATTGCTATGAAATAAATTGTAAAAAAGTTCTTGACTTTATGAAATCTACATTCTTAGAGAAAAAGATCGACTGTTCTCTACAAAGCAACCTTTATAAAAAATGAAAATCATAATGATCAGATTGGGGACGAGTGGCGTAGTGGTATGAGGCGCCGCTATGACCAGATCGGACACAGGTTCGATCCCCGCCCCTGGGACAACCAAGCCCTCTACCCTCCGGGGCCGGTAAATTGGTACCAGAGTAATCTGGGAGGATGAAAGCACTGACTTGGAAACGGCTGGCCCCCGCAAGTCACTGTAATAGGCCCGCACGCATACAATTGCCTCTTCGACTATGAAGTTAGTGTGTGCGTTCGGCGCATGCGACGGCGTCTTCAATACCCTCAGAGGGTATTGAAGACGCCGAATCCTTTATCATTTATCCTTTAATGATCAGATTAATGCTCTGTGTTTTTTGTTACAGTCGTATACATACTTTACAGAATCTAAGAGAAAATTCAAGATTTGTTATAGAACTACTGCTCATATACATAATTATTTCGTTGTTTTCGAACGAGAGCAAAGATTTCTCAAAAATTTGGTACCTTTTATCGCGATCGAAAAACCTTTCCCACAAAAATTGCCGAAGGTCATAGATAACATAAATCTCTTTCACACCTCAATCACACTCGGCCTTCATGTCGACCGCTATATGTTTAGCCTTGACACCTCAAAAGAACCAGCAATTTCGCATGGTTAACCTTTAGATTTGTTTTGCGGAGATAGTATAAGTTCGCAATTTTTGCGAAATGCTTTTTCACCTGAAAATCGTTCAAGATTAATCAGAAACAACTTACTTGTGCCCATCGCAATAGGTTGTAGTCAGTACCATATTTGGTCGTTAACAAGTCGCTGTTCTGAAAATCACCAAAATATTATTCCACTTCAAAAATAGAAACTTTGTGTAGAAGTTCATCAATAAAGGCTGGGTAAAAATTTATAGCATCAAAACCACAAAATTGTTTTTTGCAATTTTAACAGGCTTACTTCACGCCGAAGTTGTTCGACAGCTTGCACCTCTTGTTTATTCATCGTGGGGGAAATTACTGAAAAATTCTTTTTTTCTCAGATTGAGGAGAAAACAAGCTATCACGAGATTTTGTAGGGATTACATAAAAAACACTAGCAACTGAATATTTGAAACACTGCGAAGGTGACAAAAAGAAATAATAAGATGAAAAAATGCATGATGGCGTAACGAAATACGAATAAAATTATATCGATCAATAGAGCGTAGAAATTTTGTCGCGATAAATTTTCCAAAGAAGCAGAAGAGTTACTGCAAGGAGAGGAAAAAAACTAAGAAAAATGACCTTGAGAGTGATTCATTCCTTGCTAGGAATCGGAAAAGAGCTTGCTAGAATTTTCAACGAAATCAGCTGAGATGATAAATATGCTTGTTATATTTGAAAAGATGTTTTTTATTCATCCTGCCTCTTGATGAAAAATGCAAGAGATGGGAAAGGAGAAGGTTTTGGGAAAAACAGGGAAATAAATGCTCAAGATGTCAAGGCTGAAGGCGAGAAATCGCCTTGAATAAATCTTTTGATAGATGAATGGACAACAACCTCTAGTAATCACATAGCATTAAGATTTGACCGATTAGCCCAAGGTGATAAGGAAAAATGCAGACGATTTCGCGGTCACCGCAGACGGGCTAATAGGGGTCACCCTAGAGGGCGAAAAAGCGGCGAGAAAATCCCCAGATGATCGCGGGTAGGGCAGAATATTCGAGAGAAAAGGATAATAACTCCATCTACCCTGAAAGGGAGCGCAGAGTGAGTGAATTGCGATGGCAAGAGATAAGCAGCCAGTTCTCTCAGTCAGGCACAAAACGTCTCGTGGACACCACCTCTCGCTCGACGGCTGAGCGGCCTTGAACAATGAGCCTCTGCTGCTGTCCTCCGTCTGCTAGGTTAGCAGCGAGCAAAACAAAGCTGTACGGAAGCGCTCGCTGACCTTGTCTAGCTGCTGTTTACCAGCTTTGCTTAACAATTAAAATCACTGATCTAATGCCATGGGAAAAATCCCAAGTTCAGAGCGAAAAAACCAAGCAAAAAAGACGAATTGTAACAGTGGGATACTGTAGGTGTACTGTAGATACTTCAGCAGACATAAACTTGAAGATAAGTATTTTGTCGTTTCACAATCGTGCAAAAGTACTGCGTGATTGTAAAGATGAGGGGAGTAACGCAAGCACAGAGAAGAAATAGGATTACGAGACTATAAGCTATACCGTAACAGCAATACGGTAAATATACTGTAGCAGATAGTGCTGTCCGGATGATTGTTTGTGAGCCTTGCACTTTTACAGAACAATAGGAGCAGTGAATATCACGGAAAACTTGGTCGAAAGGCTACTGTAGGATTACTGTAGGCGTACTGCACCATTCGATCTTCGGAAAATTCCTTCGAAAAGGGAAGAGGGATCGAGCCCACAATGAGGAAAACAGAACGAGTACAGTTTCATAACCACGATAGATATTGTACTGTTATAATCTACAACTGAAGGGCAAATTGAATATCTAGAAAATGAGTTTTGCTTGTCTTGTATGTACTGCTTGACTGTAGATCTGTCTCTAAGCAAGACGGAAGAACAAAACCTAATTAGGAATCTTCTGTGTATTATTGTAGGACTGCCACGAATCTTTGTTCAGAGTGAACCCCTAAGAAGTTATCTATTAACTTATTATTCATTTACTTTTCTCAATATATCACGTGCCTTTGACTCAAAAGATCAGAATGTCTTTTCAACTAATAATCTGAAAGCCAAGGGAGGGAAAAACAGAAAATCATATGGTAGTAGTGAACGAAACTGGATACGGTAGGTTACTGTACAAATCTCTATGCATCTCAGATTTTGATTTCCATTTATTGTCCTCAATATACCATACAATGTACAATATACAGGGTGTCCCAAAAAAATGTATCGAACGTTTGATCGTTAATATCTCTCTTCGCAAAAAGTCTTTTGCCTTGCTTCAGGTACCGTTTTGTAGAGCTGGCTTCAACTTAGATTTCCATTATAGAGCGAACCACCCATCTCTCTTCATTACTGTAGGATTACGGTAGAAACTTCAAAGAGGATTCTAAGCAATGAAAGGCCACATTTTGCCCAGAAAGGAAACAAAACAGCCTGAAAACTTTTACACTAGGCTAAATAGAGTTGCTGATTATTACTGTAGAGTTCCCAATTTATTATAATGCTTCATTGAAGAGTTATGCCAGGTAAGAGGTAGCGACCATTTTTTCAATGTTCCTAAAAAGTGCGGTTACACCGTTTAGGAAGCTTCGTAGTCTTGTGAATAGTTGAGTATTGAACTCAGCGTCTATAAAAACCCCAATACACAAGTTTTCACATTTTTTTGAAAAATTTTGAAACGGCAGCTTTTTCCACATTGGCACCATATGTTTCAAGTTTCCACCGTAATCCTACAGTAATGAAGAGAGATGGGTGATTCGTTCTATAACGCAAATCTAAGTTGAAGCCAGCTCTACAAAACGGTACCTGAAGCGAGGCAAAAGACTTCTTGGGAAGAGAGATATTAACGATCAAACGTTCGATACATTTTTTTGGGACACCCTGTATAATGATTACTTTGATCCTTTGAGAAAAGGAGAATCCAACTATGCATGAAACGCGAGTGGAATACAATTTTACAGATTACGATAGACTATTGTGACCGCTGAAAGACAAAATATTATTCGCAAGCTTCGAATGGATTATGAACATGTATTCGTGCTTGAGAAGAGAAAAAGATGAGGAAAGCTGCTGAAGTACGCTAAATGCGTGTCGGAGATTACTCTAGGATTACGATAGGTGCACTGTAACCCTGTGTAGAACTACGGTGGCTACACTGCAAGATTCCCTCACAAAGACAAAAATGTTTTTTTAATTCGCAGACTTAGTGCGCGGATGCCGTTAACAAGGATGTTTGACTAGTAAGTGAAAGTATTTAACTGTTATCCAGGAGTTGCTGGGATTGGTCTAAAAGAGCCTCAAATGCCAATGCGTTTTTAATGACTAATTGACCTGCCCTAACTAGAATGAGAAAAGACGGTTTGGACCACCAAAAAGTGTCGATGCCATTTGCAGGCCACTTAATGACGTCCGCGCCACCTTTGACTATT